CGGCGTCTCTCATAATCATATAGTGGTTTTGGGACGTTCAACCCCACAAATCAATCAATCAATCGTAGTGAAGGGCTCCGGAAATTTTGATCACCTGGGGGTTTTTAACGTTCCCCCAAATCTGAGCACACGGGCCTACAACATTTCCGCCTCCATCGGAAATGCAGCCGCCGCAGCCGGGGTTTGATCCCGCGACCTGCGGGTCAGCAGCCGAGTACCTTAGCCACTAGACCACCGCGGTGGGGCGAAGACGCAGAGGAGAACCTGCGCCAACCGGGCAATCCCACGTAGCGACCGCCTAGCCAAACTTTGTAGCGCGTTCACGAGCACTCTTGATGGTCAGGGTTCGATTGTTTAGTTCGGCCACAATAAGGCACAACAAACTGAGCCGAATTATTGAATGAATGAAACATGTCACATATGTCTTGGTGTATATTTAAAGAATGTCATGTTCTTGATGTAATGAGCCGTCATTTATGTTTTTGACATACTCTTGTCATGCCAAGTCAATTTGGCTGCTCGTCAATCTCATCAGTCGGCCGCGAGAAAATGAGGACCTGCGCATCCAGTAAGGTAGACATACCCACATATAGCGCTCTGAAAACGTTTATTTTGCCATCAAATACATCGCGCGTAGCTTCTCTATTTGTTATTAACATAAAATGTTCAAGCCCTACCACCAGAAGGGATAAACTGAGCCAAATGACTGCGCATTTTACTGAGAGTAATCGCTTTCTGCATGCCAAGCAATGCCAGTAAGCACGAACGTTTGAAACAATGTGGTGTTTCAAGAACACTCTCTCATCCTTATTCTGAGCACATTCAGGCACCCTATCACTGCCATAAAGCAAACGCCCCTGGTGGTATTTGATACGAGAAATGTTATTAACTACTTCTTGTGGGTGGGGTTTCTACCCATTCGTTGTTGCAGCAAAATCTTCGGACGTGTAATGTAGGAAGCAGTAGCCTATCCACTTTTTCACCAGTATAGTATTCAAAAGATGCAAAACGAGCTGCATGAAAGCGCTTCGTCTGTGCCCTTGTTGGCTTTGAGGGTGAAAATTTTTATACCGTTGGTACCAAGGAACTTGCCCAAATGGGAATAGACGCCCCCGAACATGCTAGTGTAAGGCACGATGTTGGCAAAAAAGACTACGCGACAATCTCGCTGGCATCGCTGCACTGTCTAAATGTAGACTGAGTGGCAGCATTGACGCGTGTACGTGCGTTGTTTCTTTGAAAACTGCCCCAAATTCCGCACATGTGTTTTTGACACCATGCTATAGTTTTTGCTGCTATTTTTATCAGCGCTGCAATTGCGCGCTCCACACTGTCCTCCTGTCATAACCACCGTAGGGAAGCACGGAGCAAACTCCTGTCCCCGAGAAACTTCATCCTTGCTAAATATCACCCCAGGAAAACAAATACACTTCTGAAGTACTTTTACGTGCAAGGCGCACACGCCCGGCCTCCCTCGACGAGCAGTCGCGTCAGAGCGATGTACGTGGCAGGTTTTATCGAGAATATTTCTGCAAAGGAGATTAGGGCAGGTTATGCTCAATGACCGACATCTTGTGAATAATTCGGGGGAAGTTGTGAAACCTCTGCTACAAGAACAGCGCAAGAATGTGCTTGTTCTTCCATTGACATCGTAACATTGTATACTACTCTCTGCTTTATTGGGATGATCAGGGTGAACAGAAGAAGTTCCTCAGACAGGCTGGCCGGCTTGAAGCGAGGACTGCATTCCTCTGCTGTATAGTTTTTTTTTTCAGACGGCGATTATCAACAGGGACACGCGCCACCAGCAGGAGATGACGTCACCACTAACCCCCTTAAGCCTAACACGACAAGGATGACACGGTGCCTTTGAAAAAGATAGGTTCTTATATCGAAAAGCTAGCCAGCCTGCTGAGGCACTACCACTGTTCACCCTGATTACCGACTACGTTGTTTCCATCTGTCAGCTCCCATCTAAATTTTGCATTTGTCTGCTTTACGGCAGTTTATCGAGCGCAGTGCGATGAAGTGTTGAAAATAAGGATGAAGTCGATGTTTAAAACTCTACAAGGATAAGGGTAGATTTATTCTATTGGGATAAATACTTCACAGCTCTAAGATTTTATCTTAGGATGACGGTATTTGCTTCACTGGTTATTGTAGTGGCTGGGGGGCGCCCATCTTGTGCAATATATTTTTTATAGCTATCGTGCAAACAATCAAGTACAACTAAGCCTGTAATAAATGTATCTAGACTCGTTATTGAATATTTCTTGATTGTTCAGAAATGAAGTAATGGTTTGCGAAAACGTATAAACCAATCACCAATGTCTTTCAGAAGTCTTCCGAAGGATTGAAGTTTACATGAATGAGGCGACAACAAAAAGAAGCATCACTCTTTGGCATGAAAAAATTTATATTTTACTATCAATCCTATTTGTCGGACGTAGAGGTACAGGACAGGCAAAAACATTTCGCCTTATACTGGCGCTCTGTGTAGGTTGATAAAACAAGATAGTGTGATAAACTGCTTGCATTTGTTGTGAACATTTCGGAAGTACTCGAGATGAAACAGAATCGATGGTCAATTCAAGCGTTTGAAATGCCCGAGCTTTCTCCAAGGCCTCATTTGAAGCTTGTTGGAGCCTTTGTAAGCCTCTCAATTCACCAAAAGAGAGAGCGAATAACGTGCGCAAAGGCGGAAGAAAAGTTTCAACAAGTCCACAACTTTGAAAGAAAAGTTTCAAGAAACTCACAACTTATTTCAAAATTCACAAACCATAAAAGAAATTGTAGTAAATAGAGAGTAAACGTAGCTTTCACTGATACGCGCAAGTTGTCACGCGTTTGCTCCGCATATCTGCCAAAAACGCGAAGAAAACATGGGAACAACAGCATTTTTGAAACCCAACTAGTGCTCTAGTCAGCGAGTGTACAAAATCTCGTTTAACATCAGGCTAGTTTTGCATAATCCTAAACAGAAAAGTTTTCTTACGAGAATGTGCGTGAACACAATTTTTGGATGTTAAGAATCTCCTACAGGCACTTTACTTTCATTGTAAGCAGTGTAAAGGCAATGCGTTTTTTGAACGACTGCATGGGTAGTTTGAAATCAATATCTTAAATGAATATTTCAATAATCTTGAAGAAAGAAGTATCAGCGCGTCACTATGACTCCTACTGAGAAAAAAGTTTTGCTTCAGCTTTTGTCTGACTTTTCTGACTTTTCTGTTACATGCGCAGCCAAATATATATGGCATATATCTTTAATAAACATAATATTGAAAGTCATCACTCGTCCTGCTTTCATGTGTCTCTTTTGGTAGTTGTGCAATAGTGCTGCGAAATATCTTTGTGATGAACCAACTACTCCTCTGCAGCAAATTGGAGAGTCTGGCTAGTTAGCTGGTATTCATAAGAGGAACAGCGCCATAGTCAACATCCACCTGCTTGAGCACCATAGCTCTTCGAAGGGTGCGCAGTTTTCTGATTTGTCCACCCACTGTGCTGCCTGCGATTGAACCCGTGAATTTTGACGCACGACCATTGTTTTAGGCACAATGAATCTTGCATAAGAGAAATAGCGGAAGTTTTTGCTATCAGAAAAAATGGTGACGCGTGTGCTAGTGCACCGTCAATTACATTACTGGACAGCGAGCTGAAGTATTTGAAAAAAAAAAACTTGATGATGTTACATATGTAGTCCTTTTTCACAGGTATAGGCTGCGCGTGCATGGTTTTGTTCTTCTTTCTTTGCTTTTCCGTTTCACTTGAATAAAGCAATCAGCTGTCAGCCAGCACTCGTGTTATTCAGATTTTCTTTGTGATTTGTTTCTAATTTTTAAACTATGAACTACTCATTTCCAAGATATTTCTACAGTATAACGTATGGCCATAACTGACGTTCTTATAGCGGCAAAAACATTTACTAGAACGTATGTAATAAAAAGAAATATTTTAAATAAAAAAATGTTTTTGGTATTGTGGTAACTAAAGTATTAAAAGTGAATGTTGATGGTAGTACAAGAATAATGTTCTTAATAATAATATATTTATAATTTTGAGGGTTTAACGTCTTAAAACACGATTATAGTGGAGGGCTACGGAAACTTTGGCAACGTTGGTTTCTTGAACGTGCACCTAAATCTAAGCGCAAGGGCTTCAACCCTTTTGACTCTATTGAAAATGCATTCGCCACAACCGGAATTAAATCCCGCGATGTTCGGGCTAGAAGATGAGTGCTATAAGCTCTAGACCACTGCAGCGTGGCAAGAATTATATTTCTCAGCACAATAATATTTCTCGCGCAGAAACAGCCAATGTACACAAGTGTCGGCAGAACACCAACTTTTGAATGTTTTTATGAAGAGGTCAAACGTCCTTCTGTTTTCACTATATTTTTATTTTATGCGAAAATAAGCTAACTGTCATATATGTAACATGGACGTGGAAATGTAACATAGTGGAGATGCTGTTCTTATATAATGTCTTTCTGTGTCTGCCTCCAAAAAATCTGTGGTGGATTACTTTGAAGAAATGTGCATTGCCAAATAGACCAGCTTCGTGGTTTGTTGGGCAGGCGTAAGTGTAAAAGTTGATATTTAAATGTACATCCAGATGATACTAACTCGAACTTCACCTTTTATTTTTGCCGTCAGATGATTTCTACTTAATGTCTTGAACAGAGAAGTAAAGGCGATATTTTCTTAGTAGTTTTTCAATGTGCAGCTGAACCTGGGATCGGAAGTTTGACCTTGTTCCCGAAGCCTTCGTATCAGTGGGGAGTGGCACAAAAGTATCCGCAAACTTACAGTTGGGTGAATATAAGGTCATCACTTAGACGCTAATATTATCAAAGCCTACTTTACGCCTGATGAATACACTGTTGTTTTGGCGCTTCTAACCTGCGATCTTAATTTTTTAACAAATGACAGTGTGACGACTGATGAGTATTCTTTCTACTTATTTTGTTCTTTTCTCTCACATACGCGAAGACGGAAATGCACTGCTTCTACAACAGCAAGGCACCAGAACACCCGCTGCCCTTCACCCCCAGTGACGTTCCAGTGGGATTGTGCTCTTCAGTGATCTACTGCTGCCTTGGGCCAACAAGCGATGGTTCCAACCTCACTTTTCTGAACATTAATTCCACTGCCGGACCACGTGACCTCGAAACATTCAGTTCGGTGGTGCATGGCTTGGACCCTTCTATGCGACGCCTTGTCGCAGTCGGGGGTGCCCGCTTGAACTATGAGCACCTGACAAGAGCTTTACACAATTCGGAGTCGAGGACCAAATTCGCAAATAGCGTCATGGAATTTCTCAAGCGTCCCTACCTTCGAAACTTCGGGCTCGTCCTGCATGTAATACAGCCCGAAAAAATCGCCAAGCCCCGTTTGCTCGACACTTTCGTCGTGGAGTTGTCCGCCAGGTTCAAGTCCAGAACATTTATCCTGACCCTGCCGCTAAGTAGTGACGTGGAGAGCAGGTACTTTCATCCGATGGCGTATAAGAACGTAAAGGCGTTCATCAAAATGTCTCATCGCTTTGGCACGCCCACCATAGGCAGCTGTCCCAATCCTGTGCGTGGCCTGCGGGTGCACTCACTGGAGAAGGTGATGAGGGATGTCAAAATGATGTATCACCACCAATGGGATGAAGGCATCAGAGAAAAGACTCTCTTCACCATTTCACTTGCCGGCTACATATACTGGGTGAGAAATGGCTCCCTCGCCAGAGTGACTAAAGGCCGCGTCGAAAAACACGCACTTTCCGGTTACTGGGACATCTGCCGCAAAGTGGACGACGCCAGCTGGAACCACAAGTACATTAGGGAGACTGGCTGCCTCACAGCTTGGTCCGGTCGCAACTACGTATCGTCTCTTTCCCCGAAGTCGTTCAAGTTCCTCGATCACAAGCGAGATATAAGAGGCATCGTTGTGTTCGACATTGAGAAAGACGATTTCAAGGGCATGTGCGGCGATCCTTACCCCATGCTTAGAGCACTCAAAGAAAGCCTTGTGAAATATAAGGTTGATAAATAATGTGAAAACATGGCTGGTTCCTCCATCACAAGAATTGGTTAAACGTGAAAGTGAAACATGTTGTCACTCGAGCACCTATTGTGCATTGGTATTGTTACGTGAAAATATTGTTGTATATTTTATGTACCAGTCATACGTAATGATACGGAATTACGGAATGATATTGTTACGTAACAATATATCAGAACTTGCGCTATATATATTGGTGTTTGACAGCTATAGCACCATTTGACATGTATGCAGCCACGTTAGCACCTATGGTAGTACATCTCTATCCTAATGGCTAATGCCACAGGTCATGATATAGCCTTTGTTGTAGCTGAAGTAGTTATCATACACCTGGATACAGCATATCGGAACTCCGAGAAAAAATGGAATCAGTAAACACATAAAAAAGTCAGTTTTGTCGGAAGGGCGAAGAAATGAAAGCGATAGCTACAAATGAGAATGTCGCATGAAAAATGGCAAGCACCTTAAAACTTGCAACATGCAGCTAAAGCACGTAGGTCACATCGAAAGAACACACACAGGATGAGCATGATGAAACGTTACAGCTCGACACTTCAAGCGCACTGCTTAAAGGAATAGAGGGTAGAACGAAAACACAAGCACAAATATATACAGATAGAGTGCGAGCTCCCACTGTTGTTATTTCCTTGCGTTCGAGCAGCGCGCTGTTTTCGCAAACGCGGACTCTGCACCAAGCTATGTGACCTTAGTGCACTCTCTATCTAACAAGCAAACTATGCGGGGAAAGCATAAGACGTACAGAGGCTAGTGTGGAGGCGCGTGCTCACTCCTTCTTTTTACGGCCTATATACGCACGGCGGGCTGTTGCTACCTATCACCACAGCTTTACGAGGAAGCTCCGAGCCAGCTCATTGTTTAAGTCTCTGTCGGCAGCAGCGGAAAACACCGCGCGCAGGGATTTCTGGGCTCTGAGCTCGCTGTGGTCTTGGTGGAAAGCATACAGAATAACTCCGGTGATGTCCACTTTTCAGGACGGGAGGCGCTAGCCACTGATCAGCCTGTTACTGTTGCAGGCAAATCATGACTTTATGACGAGCATGAGTGACTAGTCATAACATGGAAATTATGACAAGTCTGTCATGAATTTCATGATTTAAATTTTAAGGCCTAGTTGTTATTGCGGTGGTTCTGTTCACATCACATGTTGCAAAACTGGTAATTGCATGACATGGCGAGCACAATCGACAGGTCCTAACATGAAAAGCTTTATATGCATGTCATGTAACAATATGACTACATGCCACACTCAGGATGTGCTCGCGGCCGTTTCGCTAGCTTCACATATACCACTATTGGTAGTACAGGACGTGAAGGGATGTCGAAAGTATGTGACTGGTGCAAACATGATAATCATTAGATGCATGTCATGTAACAACATGACTACGTGCCATGCTCATCATATGCTCATGGCCGTTTTGCTAGCTTCATATATACCAAATTTAGTATTACATGACGTGAATGAACGACGAATGTAAATGACACGTCAAACATGATATTCATGGTATGCGTAGCATTTGGAACACGACTACATGCTACACTCATAGCGCCCACGGCCGTTTTGCTAGCTCATCATATACCAAATTTGGTATTACATGACGTGAATAAACGACGAAGGTAAAAGACACGTCCAAACATCATAATCATGGCATGCGTGTCGTGTAAAACATTACTACCTGCTACGCTCATAGCATGCTCGCAGCCGTTTTGCTAGCTCCTCATATACCAAATTTGGTTTCACATGACGTGAACAGACGACGAAAGTACATGACACGTCCAAACATGGTAATAATAACATGAGAGTCATGTACGGCATAATTTACTTCCGTCTCATATTGTTGTGCTGAATTTAAAGTGCCATATATTCCGTCCTAGTTCGTACTTCGCATGTAATCGATTCCCACTGTACGTGGGATCTGCCATTTTTTAATTCATTTTTCATAGCATGGACAAATGAGTAGAAAGCTGAATTCTGCACTTGACACGAATGTGCGATTGCTTGTCAGCTTTTGAAATGTCGGCCGCTTGATTATCAATGGGCATAAAAATTACGCATAACTTGTTCTTCGCTAGACAAGCTATTTAGTAAATATTTACAGCATGTACACATACCGGGCTGTCGCGGCACTTGAAAAGAAGATTCGGGCCCTTTTTTGGCAGCATTGTAATTCGTGCTTTAATGTTGATGAATGGTAAAAAGTTGAAAATACATTTTTAGTAGGGACAGCCACTGTTTTTCGCAATTAGCTCTAGCTTTTAAGTCACAATCATATTAGAAGGACTAATAATAATAATAATAATAATAATAATAATAATAATAATAATAATAATAATAATAATAATAATAATAATATATTATTATTATTATTATTATTATTATTATTAGTATTATTATTATTATTATTATTATTATTATTATTATTATTATTATTATTATTATTATTATTATTATTATTATTATTATTATTATAACAGTAATATTATACAGAAATAAGAACACGAGTTAAAAATAACATTAAATAGCAGGTACTGATAGCGTCTACGATAGGCACTGAAATACAAAATTGAGCAAAAATAAATCAATGACGCACCCACTTGTATTTCTAACGGTAGCATAGATAAACATACAATTTACCATTATTTGTTATTCGGAGGAAAAGCCTGGTACACGCTACACACCTGTAGGACATTATGTGCACTCCATTGATGTGCTTGAGAGCTTTGAACAACCAGCTTGTTGTGAAATTCTCATTGCGTGACGCATGGCTGGTATTTCACTCTTTTAAAGCGCTCTCCTACACAAGTCTGCGTGACTCCTTATCCGACATGAAGCCTGCATAGGGTCTGTGTGAAGATGTGTCAAGCAGTATCGTGGCTCTGAAAACGGTAATAACAAAAAAGAAACTGGTTTGGCTCTGTGCTAGTACGCTGAGCTATCACGCAGAAGGCTCACGTTCACATCCCAACTCTCCTGGATTGTTTCGTTTGTTTTTTTTATTGCGATAGCAATTATATTGGCACCCTCAGCTGGATTTTGTCGTTGGTATTGGCATAGGCGTCGACGTGGGCGTCGATGTCATGCACCATATATGTATACGTATCTATATATTATCTCAACGCAAGGAAGAAAAAAAAAATCCACATAAAAGCCTCTGAAGCGTGGAATGGAACTTGGGACCTCCGCGTCGTGAATGCGAGGCGTTAACCACTAAACTACGGAGAGGTACCTTCTGCAACGTTCGAACGGCAGGCTATTCATATCTACCACTTACCGCTGTTGGCGGGCATCTTGGGAGGGGGGGAGTATGGTGTCTTTAGCATTATCAGCAAGATGGCGCAGTGAGCGCGCAGCGGCTCTCATCTCTCACGCGTACATTAGGCCCCGTAGAGAATATGAGGGTGCACGCTCGATGGCGTGCCTTTATCTTGCAGTGGGGAGAATCGCACGTTTTGAGTTTAACGTCTTGCCTTTGAGCTTCGTCGGAACAATCCTGTTGCAGTTACCAGGCGCACAAAGGTCACTGCAATCGTTGCACAGCCTTTGTTTGCGAAAAGGACGCGCTTTTTAGACACAACGAAGTAACAACTGAGACGCCTATTCGTGTTAATCTGTACCTGTGAGTACGTTTCTTGCATCCTTTGAGCGTGAGAAACGCAGGGCACGTTTCAATCTGCTTTCTGCGCGTGAACTTAAATTTGTTGCTATCGCGTTCATTGCTTGGCCTTTGCGGCAAAGCTGTGCCTTTTTTTTATTTGGCTCTAGAGTGGTTACGGCCCCAAAACAGCTGCTGTCATATCATAACCGTTTTCCCCGTAAAAAAAAAACAAAGTTTAAGGCCAAGGGAAAAGTGATGAATGCGAGAACAGGAAAAATGTAATATTAAATGAATGAAGGCTGGCAGCTAACTATTTTGCACCCGATATCGCGCAACTCTACACAACGTTGACGTAAGAGCATACTACCGCTCCAACGAGAGTTGCTCTAGTCGCAGTCTCTTCGCGTTGAAAATGCTGCGCGTAGAACGGTACACGAGCCCATGGCTGATGTCTGCCAAGTTGGCACGCGCTCTAGCGATCGAGAGAGTGCACCCTGAGAATGAACGGTCACAGCTGCGGCTTGAGAAAACCCCCTTACGCTTCTTCAAGGTTATTCAAGACGGGCGGGGCGTTTACGCAGTGCTCAAGCGTTAGACAGCCGGTCTAACACACGGGGTGATGTATCGCATGCGTCCTCCGAACTACAGATATGTGCTGGCTTGTCTGATCTCTCCTTCAGCCGCGTTCATTACCCCGCTCACGCACGTTTACCAAGATATAGAACATATGATCTGCGTCTGTGTGTGTTTGGGGGGGATATTTTATCAATGTTACTTCATACGAACACACGATTACGCCAGTATTGATTGCCAAAAGCTGTCGATAGTCACAATACAGTCCCTATCACGATGGTAGACCTCGCACTGCAGTCAGCCGTCTAGTGTAAGCACTGGTGGTTGAGCGATTGTCACAGAAAGGCATTGATCTTATGCCCAAGTTTTAGAAGAGAAGTTTTAAAAGCGAAAGCTGTTATCATGCACAAAGACCCTGGCGTCATACAATGCCACTTGCGTAACGAATTGGTCTTTGATTGCTTCCAGCTATTACAAAAGTCTCACCCATAATTTTTCAGCTATGGCCTCAACAGTGTGCATATAATGCCCTACAAGTATGTAGCATATGCGACGCTTCTCCGAAGAATGATGAATGATGGCACAGCCGACGCTTCCCTTCTACACATAAATTACGATGATTTATGGCGCAGTGGGTGCCTCGCAAACATACCTGAAATAATTTCCAAAGAACCAGGTAACATATTTATTATAGCGTGGTAGGCGAGCGGAAGAACGAATGGGCTTCAAACAATGCTAATTACAGAACTAGTAGCTCATTTAAAGCTGTCAGCTCAATTACAAAGATTGAACTGTAATTACTTA